AGAATATAGAATAGAATAATAGAATAGTATAGAATAGAATGGAATATAGAATAGAATAGAATAGAATAGAATGGAATATAGAATAGAATATAGAAAATAATATAGAATAGATTGTAGAATAGAATAGAATAAAAAATAGAATAGAATTCAGAATAGAATAGAAAATAGAAAAAAATATAGGAGGTAGAATGTAGAATACAATAGAACAATAGAATAGAATAGAATAGAATAGAATAGAATAGAAAAAATAATAGAATAGAAAATAGAATAGAATATAGAATAGAATAATGGAATAGAATAATAGAATACAATATAGAAAATATTGCAGAATAGAGTAGAGAGAATAGAACAGAACAGGAATAGGACATAGAATCACAGAGTTGGAAGGGACCTTGGAGGTCTTCTAGTCCAGCCCCCTGCTCAAGCAGGAGACTTTGGACAAATGGTTGTCCAAACTGACCAGCGAGGGAGCAGCCACAACTTCTGGAGTCCAGCTGATTAATTGTTCTCATTGTCTGGGCAATTTCAGGAAAATCCCCAAACCCGGGTTTCCTCCAGTCTTGTGTCTTGTGCGAATGCAGCCCATCTGCCTTGGAGCTGAGTTCCTGCTTTCTTGTGAATATTAGCAACTTTTAACATAGATGAACTTCAACTCCTAGAAGGCCCCAGCCAGCAAGGTTGATTATCACTCCCTTAAAGAAAACCCAGCACAAACGGTCCAAGCCAAACCCATCCTTCCTCTTCCTGTTAAAATCAACCGCTATTGGCTCTCTCGCCTTGTGATTGACAAGGGAAGAAGAAGCTCTCTTGCCTCATGATTGACATATGGAAATTTAATGGCAGTCCTCAAGGTATCTTCACAGCCGAACCCAACCTTTTCAGTCCTAAGCCGGATCGTTAAGGGAGCGTTGTTAGAGTTTGAGTGTGAACAACGCAGTAAAATCTCGGTTTAACTGATCTTGTTTTAACAATTTTTTCAGATTTAATAAGCAGGATGGGGTCCCCATTATATCCCTTAATAATGAACCAAAGCTAGTTTTTACGTTAATTATGCTTTGTGCTGTATGCATAAGTATTTGACGTAAATTATGCAAGTATTCTGCATTTTTTTTAATCTACTGTGGACTGAAGCAGATATAAATGTATGCAAATCCTGAAAATCGATGTCTTTGGTGACATGCCCTAATGACGCTAATGACACAATTTTGTGTAAGGAGTCAAAAACGTGCAGCGTTTGCCTGCTTATGTCATGAGACAAATGCCTTAAACTCTTTGACAATGGATTTGCCTGTCCATAAAGTTGAGTTTAGCGTAATCCAGATTAAGAGTGTGTGAACGCAGAGGTGGGGCGGGGGGAGTAAATGAGTGACAGGAGCGGATCAATCTTTCATGCATAGGATGAATTCCGTGCCAAAAAAGGAGAGAATCCATCCCAACCTTCTTTTAAAAACCTTAATTCTCAGCCTTGGGAATAAAGTGAATTTTCTTGGGTGGTGGCTGGAGGGAGCTAACTCTGCCTTAAAGATGCCCGGACATAGCTGGGAACCATGGGTATGGTGTTCCAGGAACTGGGTATGTTTAGTTTGATGAAAAGAAGGACTCAGGGGGACATGACGGCAGCGTTCCAATGTTTGGGGGGCTGCCCCAAAGAAGAAGAGGAAGGGGTCAAATTAATCTCCAAAGCCCCTGAGAAGGCAGGACAAGAAGCAACGGATGGAAACTCATCAAGGAGAGAAGCAACTTAGAACTAAGGAGGAATTTCCCGACAGTGAGAACAATTCGTCAGTGGAACAACTTGCCTCCAGAAGTTGTAAATGCTCCAGCACTGGAGGTTTTTAAGAAAAGACTGGACAGTCACTTGTCTGAAATGGTATAGGATCTCCTGTTTGAGCAGGGGGCTGGACTAGAAGACCTCCAAGGTCCCTTCCAACTCTGTTATTCTGTTCTGATGGCCACTCGTTTGCTGCAAACAGAGAGTCCCAATTGGAAAATGTTGGCAGATGTTCTATATGCCACTATGGCCCCTTTAGGACTGATGGACTTCAACTCCCAGAATTCCTGAGCCAGCCAGGATCAAAATTCGGGCACTTGACAAATGGCCTATATTGGTGTCTATGTGCCATTTCTTTTCTGGGGAGGGTGCAGAGAAGAGCAACAAAGATTAGGGGGCTGGAGACTAAAATATACGAAGAACGGTTGCTGGAATTGGGTAGGTCTGGTCTAGTGAAAAGAAGGCGTGACATGATAATAGTCTTCCACTATCTGAGGGGCTGCCACAAAGAAGAGGAGGGGGTCAAGCTATTCTCCAAAGCTCCAGAAGGCAAAACGAGAAGCAATAGGTGGACACCCATCAAGGAGAGACGCAACCCAGAACCAAGGAGGAATTTCCTGACAACTGCAATGATTCACTTAGCAACTGTGGCATAAAATGGGGTAAAACTCACTTAACTGCCTTGCTTAGCAATGAAAATTTTGGACCCAACTTTGGTCGTAAGTCAAGGACCAATTTGGCCCAAACTGGCCTTCCAACTTGGAACAATATTTGTCAACCCTCACGGATAACTCCTGAGATTTACAATTCGGCGACCAACACTTGCACCAACGGAAAGAAGGTCAGCAGTGAGTTTCCAGGTTGGGATCATTTTTAATTGTACTTTATTGGATTTCTTATGCCCAACTCCCCAAAGATCCTGTCATCTCCAGTCCCGCAGGGCTCAAAAGCAGGTCCACCCAACTCTGACCATCTCCACCACGAAGGCGGGAGGCCACTCAGTTATTAAATGTCTCTGTCCCTAATGTAGTTATTCAATTGGTCTGATTTACAATTTCAAACAATCCCCAGACTGCCAACCCCTTTGTGATGACCTGGGAGTGGCACGAAGGCAACACAGCCAGAGAACAGGTCTGACTCCCCTTTATTGCTCCAACTGTGCCCCCAAACATCCCCACGTTTACAAGTCCTTGTGATGACCCAAAGGGGCGTGGCACAAAGGCCACACAGTCATAAGCAATCAGAGTCCCTTTTTGAGCTCCAGCTTTGCCCCCAATGTCCTGGTTACCTTCTGGGCTGGAGAAAAACTCTCAGGAAAAGCCTTGGGCTGCAGAGAACCAAGTCCAAAACGTGGTCAACAAAAACTGGAACTATAAGTCCAATCAAGGGAAAATGAGGTCATTAGTCTGGCAGGGCAGGAGCAGGAATTCCAGATGTGAAGGCACAGCAATAACTCAACACGGTTGGGAAGATGCCAGGAACACAGATAAGCAAAGTCAATACAAGATAAACTCACGTTTGCTCCCAGCAGCTGCTGCACTCAGCATGCATCTCTTTTAAACTCTCTTCCCAGCTGTGGCTAATGAAGGGAATCAGGGCCCTTTCCTCCCCCGTAAGCCAGGCAACCCACGTTGCTCCCTTCTCCATTCTTCCCTGTGTGCCCTAGGATGAAGAGGATGTGGGCCTGGCTCTTCCTCTGAACTCCCTCTCCCTTGTTCTGCCTCTTCCCTGCTCTGCCCAGCCGGA